GAAGGGAGGGCAGGGGAAGGGGAAAAATAAGAACCAAGATGCATCATGTGCAGGTACAAGATCCCAATGATGAATGTCACTGTACTGTATACCTAAAATGTACCAATAAACTTAATGGGGAAAAAAAAGTTTAGCTTCTGCTCAAAGACACAAATGTGTTGTTATACTCTTACCTCATCCATAAGAGCAATCCACTTGCTTTCAACAAACCCCAGACCCTACCAGAGAAAGTTAAATGATTTGATACACGACTTTCCTCACCAGAGAACCTGCCAAACAGTTGCACCTGCTTGGTCTGCTCCAGAGTCTGGGAGAGAACACGAGGCTCCAAATGGGCTCTGGGGAGCCAGGCTGTAACCCAGCAGGGAGAAGAACCATTAAAGCCGTCTGAAAGTGAAACCAGCGGGGAGGCACAGGAGAGTAAGTCCTGGGACAGCGGCAAATCCTCCCCCAAGGGCCGCAGCTCCCTGGGGAGGCGCCTGACACCCGGGCTGGACCTTAGCATCGCCAAGTCCTTTCAAGCCCAAACCCACTTATGGTGTGAGTCCTTCTATGGGAGAGCAGAGATCAGGGAGGGTAAAGCAGGAGTCGCTTGTGGAAATGAGGGCAGACTGAAGCAGGCTGACAAGACAACCTGAGCCCTGTAGTCAGGACCTCCAACCTTGCTGCAGTAAAAAGGTCAAGGCCAAATCCATCCCTTCCTTTGAGCACCAGAAAGAGTGTCAGTGCTCAGAGCTAAAGCAGTCATCCAGAAGAACCAAGATACATATCTATTAACCTTAGAGATTATTCTCAAAAAAGGATTCCAAGCGTTTGGAAAGGAAGAAAGACAGAGAAGTACCATAATGGCAGTTATATTTCAGAAATATTTAGAAAAAGGTTAGAAAAATATAAAATGATAGTAGTGATTATATGGTGACAGTAAAATTATTAGTGATTTTTCTCATCTCTAAATTTTATGATACAGGGATATCTCTTCCCCATCACCTACCCCAAAACGTGGTAGTTTTCAATTCTGTAAGGCTGATAGGTTCCTTGGGCTTAATTAACAGCTTAGTTTGTACAGGTGTGATAGTTGTTAATTTTTACCTTCTCAATTCTTTCAGGTCGTGTCTGGAGGTGTTGCAAATAACTTTTATATCCAGAGAGTTCTGGAAATTGTCACAAATGCTACGCAGTGCACTTTGTTGTGTCCCCCTCCCAGGCTGTGCACTGATAACGGCATTATGATTGCATGGTAAGCCACAGGATATGTGTTTCGTTCATAGTCATGTAACTAGTAATTACCATTTCATCATTCTAAATCCTTTTCTCTTAAATCTCTGGGCTGTTTGTTTTATTCTGATGACTTTTATTTAGGAATGGCATTGAAAGATTACGTGCTGGCTTGGGCATTTTACACAACGTAGAAGGCATCCGCTATGAACCAAAGTATGTGGTACCATTTATAAACTTTGTGCCAGTTACCTGGTATAAGCCAAAGGCTGAATTTTGCTTTTATAATGTGAGATTTTCATTGACATTCTGATGGTACTCGAAGGAAAGTTGCATGAATTTTTTTCAGGAACCTACTTGAGGTTGACATGTTATAAGAAATATTTTTGCTACAGAATCAAACTATAAAATTTTTGACAAGTCACAAGTGAGTTAGGAACCAGCTCTGGGTAGGAGTGATACATTTCCTTTTTTGGGGGACCAGAATAGAAACTATCTCCATAGCCTGGATTTGTGCAGTGTCAAAAGGCTCTTAGAACTAGCTGGTATGCTGGGGAACTTAAGGAAAACATGCAGAAAGCGTTCAGGTATGAGATTGAGTTGTGACTATGGTCTTATAGGGGCAGCTGAGAAGTGCTCAAGCTGCTTCCTGCAATCCTTATTTCCT